TGCCAAGATTTGGATTGCTAGCCCATTTTACAGATGAGGAAAACAGAGCCCCTGGGAGCTTTGACAGAACCCAGGGGTTGACTCAGACATACCTCTCCCTGATGGGACAGAGGCTCCTGTTTCTGAATTCCTTAGCTTTCATCCTCTCTCAGTACATTTCCTGGTTCTGGATCTGGGTGGGGAACAATGAAGGAGGGGACATCTAAGTGGGGCACAGTTGGAAGAACCTGCTGGGCTGAGAAGGTCCTGCTGGGCAGAGAGCATCCCAGCTGCGGGTCATTCAGCCTGGGTTCCCATCTGGATTCTATGTCAGGCGGTGTCACCCTTCTAGGCTCAATCTCCTCACCCACACGGTGCGGACAGAGCTACTCTCAGCATGGTGTGTGTGTGCGATGCTTCACCAGGTAAGCACCAGCCACAGAACCTGAGTGAGCCCAACCCTGAGTCAGAAGCAGGTGTGGAAGTGATAGAGCCGGTAGAGGCTAGGGGGAAGGGAAATGGAGAAAGAGGAGACTGGGGCTGCAGTGGGTGGGCGAGCCTGGCCTGTCAACAAAGTTGATTCTGCTATGCAGAAAATTTGTGCAACTGCTTCTGGTGAGGCCCAGACAAGAGAAAAAGAGTGTGCAAGAGTAAGTGTGCAAGTATATGTGTGCATGTGTGAACACACAGCATGTAGACGAATAGTGTGTGTGTGTGTGTGTGTGTGTGTTCATGCACATGTAAATGTACACAAACAATGGAGGAAAGTGTGTGTGTGCACATATGTAAGTGTCATGAGCATGTCTGGATGTAAGTATGACACCCACATACAGAGTAAACTTCGTTCAGCCCCCAGCTAGTAGTTGTTTCAGATGCTGGCGAGCTGACTATGGCTAATAGTGACCTTATGAACCACAGACTGGAACTTTGTGCTACCCTGTGCTGTTGCCAGGAACTCCTTCATCCTCAAGCCCACTGTGGTGATCTCTGTGTCAGACAATCTCCAGAGGGTTCTTCTGTTACTCAGTGACCTGTCACAGCATGATGCCTTTTTCAAAGGATTTGCTCCTCCTGATGGCATGTGTAAAGGATGTGAGAAGCGTCACCAAGTGTCACCATCCCTGCCTCGAAGGACACCAGGCCTGCACTTCCTCCAAGACAGACTTGTTTGTCCTTTCTGCATCCCTATTCAATCTATATGCTGAACAAATCATTCCAGAAAAATGTGGCATCAGGAATGAAAGAAGACTCGTCAGCAATATGCATTTTTCGAGTGACAAGATCTTGCTCACACAAAGTCAAGAATATTTCAAATGCTTACAAAGAATACAGCCTTCGATAAGGATTACTTCTCAACATGAAGAAAATAAACATTCTCACCACTGGACCAACTGGCAACATCGTGATGTTGTTGTTATGTGTAGTTGACTTAGAATCAACTCACAGCTGACCCTCCAGCAGGTTTTCAGTGGCTGTAAATCATACAGGAGATTGCCCATCTTTCTACTGAAGATCAGCTGGTGTATTTGAACTTCATGCTTTTGGACTGGAAGCTTACCTCCTTAGTACTAAATCTGGAGCAAGGACTGAAGTTGTCAATAATTTTATTTTACTTGGACTCACAATCACCACCCATGGTAACAGCAGTCAAGAAGTCAAAAGACGTGTTACACTGGGAACATCTGCTGTTAAGGATCTTTAAAATGATAAAGAGAAATGATGTCAGTTTCAAAACTAAGATATACCTGATCCAAATCATAGTATTTTGGGTTGTTCCCTACACATCTGAAAGTTGGACAAGGAATACAAAAGTCTGAGGAAGAATCAATGCTTTTTAACTATAGTGTGGTCAAAGAGCATTGAATAGACCATCCAGCTAGTATCAGCCCTTAATAATTGTCTCTGTGTTACTTCTGACGTGAGTCTGTCCCAGCGACCATGGTGGGGACACCGAGTCCTTCAGGGAGCAGAGGCATATGGACAGACAGAGAGGAAAAGACCCAGAGTCAAACCCTTATTTCTCACAACTGCGTGTGCACTGGCACAGACCCTCACAGTGTGTCTGCTCCCTAACCACCTCCCTGACATGTCCACACCACTGAACTGAATGTGTAGACTCTGCCCTCTGACTATCTGGTCTCCATTCTGTCCTCATCACTTTCTCACAATAGGAACCTGGGCAAATTCTTTAAGTGTTCTAAACCTCAGTCTCCACATCTGTAAAGTGGGGATAAAAACAGTGCCTCAAAGAGTGAGTGAGAGTGCTCAGTGGGTAATCAGCTTGGAAAGGATTTCAGACAGTGTAAGTAGCCTCCATGAATATTAACCATCATACTGGTTTTCTCAGGGCTATGAGGGCTTAGGTGGGAGCACAGCCAGCACCTCATCCTTGGCACTTGAACTTATGACAGTCCCCTTGGTTCTCTTGCAGTTCTCCCCATGACCCAGGGCGGCCTACTCAACCTCCAGGCCATGGTGGAAGCCCTGACAGGGAGGAATGCCATCCGAGACTTCGTGGGCTACGGCTGCTACTGTGGGCCCGGGGGCCGAGGCCTGCCCATGGATGAGGTGGACTGGTAGGTCCTGGAGCGAACAGGCTCCTGTTGGGGATGGTGGCAGGCTGCAGAAGGTTCCTCTTATCTCCACCCTCAGACACAGAAGAGGGACCTTTTCCAAAGGATGATGCTATGGGACAAATTTGTGATCAGGAACTAGGCTTTTCATCTGTGGCCTCTCCAGCTGCCTCGGACACACTTTTCTTCTGTCCCCAAGGTTTCAGGCTTGAAGGCATTTTAATCTCCACCCTCACTAAAGAAGGGACCTCTGACCTGCTCAAAGGCACACATGGGAACAATAATCCCATAGCTAGTGCAAGAACTGTGACTTCTGCTCCCATCAGACTGGAGGTGCTGGACAATCACTGTGCTTCCTCCTTCAGGCTAGGAGCTCCCAGAAGCTGTGTTTTTTCTCCTGCTCTTATCTCCCTAATAGCAACTAGCAAAAAGCCTGGTAGCACTGAGAGTCTAAGAAATGCACCTTGGCCAGTTGGCTTCATTCCCCACAAGGTGAGAAGGACAGACACATTTGCTTTCCTGCACCAAACTCCTGTATCAATTCAACCCTCCAGAGCTCTGTCCCTTCCTGACCATCATGTACAAACTAGCAGCCACTGAATCCATTCAGAAGTCCTCTCACACCCTGGCCACACAGCTGCATCACCTGGCCCTCCTGCATCCTGAGCTCCAAGGGAGAAAGCTGGGAGCCCTGGCAGGACAGGACCAAGAGGCAAGGTGGCACAGAGGAACTGGGGTGCTGGGCCCAGCTTTGCCACTGCTTGGCTGTATGATCTCAGGCTAGTAACTGGCTCTCTCTAGGCCTCAGTCTGAAAATTCTGAGGACTGGAACCCTTGATGATATCCTTGGAGGATAAGACTCCATCTCTCCTCTGCCCATCCATAGGTGCTGCCATGCCCATGATTGCTGCTACCAGAAGCTCTTTGACCTGGGATGTCACCCCTACGTGGACCGTTACGAATACACCATCGAGAACAATACAGTTTTCTGCAGTGAGTTCTTCTCCCCTCCGTCCCCTGGGGAGGCCCATGGACCCAGCTCCCTGAGGTGGCCAGTGGGCAGGGAGGCCAGATGAAACAATGAAACTGGAATTTCAGACAAACACAAATAACGCTTTCATGCAAGTGTATCTTAAGCATTGCTCAGGATCTGCTTACACTGAATGGGTTAAGTATGCATCTTAGCTGAATCCCTCAGGTGGCCTAGTGGTAAGGAGCTGTGCGGTCAACCAAAGGCAAGCAGATTGAATCCACCGGCTGCTCCTCAAAAGAAAGATGGGTTATCACTTCTGTCCTATTGGTGGTGGTCTTGGTGGTGGTGGTAGCTGGGTGCTGTCAAGTATGACTCACAGAAGTCCTCTGAAAAACAGACCTGAACCCTGCCCTATCCTGTGCCATCCCCACAATCTCTGACACACTCAAGCCCATTCCTGCAGCCACTGTGCCAATCCACCAAGTTAAGAGTCTTCCTCTCCTCTGTCATCCCTCTGCCTTTCCAAGCATGATGTCCTTCTCCAAGGAATAGCCTCTCCTAGCAACATGCCCAGAGTAGGTGAGACAAAGCCCCTGAAAACCTGTTGGAGGGTCAGCTATGAGTTAGCTTCAGTTTTTTTTTTTTAGTTAGCTTCAATTTGACAGCATATGTCAACAAGTACAAAGTAAAATACCACCAGTATAAAATGAAGTAGTTAGTGAAGTAGGACCTGTACAATATTCGGGAAAGAATGTTGTTATGCACTATTGAGTCAAAACTGACTCGTAACAAACCCTCCGGTGAGTTTTCTGAGGCTGTAAATAGTACAGGAGATCGTCCATCTTTCTTCTGCAGAGCAGCTGGTGAATTTGAACTTCCCACCTTTGGATTGCCAGTGTAATTCCTTAGCACTAGGTCACCAGAGCTCCCTAAATTTAACTAGGTATATTATATTTGTTTTGATCTTTTACAAATGGGGAACTTTAGTGTGTCTCTATAACGTGTTAAAGCCACAAGGCTGGGATAGACATCTAGTTCTTTATCTCCATGGTTCTTATGCTCTGGGAGGCTTAGGGAGTGACGCTGGATCCGCAGTTCTGGGTGAGGCTTAGGAGGCCACGTGTGTAGCCATAACCCTAGGTGATTCTGAGCCTTCTCCTCTGCAAGTTCAACTTTGTAAAACACTGGCCTGGAGTTGAAAGCTTTGAGCTTGCTCCCCATCTTCGCACTGTATAAGCCCTTCCTACCTGACCTCCCTCTTTCCTATGATGCACTGAAGACTTTGAGTCAGAGCAGGCTCACCTCTTCCAGTTCTGTCATTGGGATCACACCAGAAAACGTGACCAATCACAGGGCCCTGCATATGCAGGGATTCAAAGGATCAGAGCAGTTCTGGCACAACTGCTTCCATGGACATGGTCCATTAACAGATGGAAGAAAATAACATTTGAGTTAACAGGCCCAGGGGTCCCTGTCCTGCCTCCCTCAAATGCCCCTTCATGCCAGTCCCACCATGTGCCCAGCTCTCTGGGCAGCCACTGGGCTTTCTTTGCCTCCTGGTCTTAACCAGGCTCCTCACATTGTTCTTTAGTGAAGCTCACAACAGTGCCAGCTTCACAGCGAATATCAAATCTTCTGTTCTCTGGGAAAAGGTCCTACGAAGAACTGGGAACATTTGAAACCACTTGGGAGCCCAGGGCTCTGCGGTCCTTATATTCTGATGTTCACACTTAAGGGCTGGATTAGAGAGCGATGTCTCTTCGTTAAAGTAATTCAAGAAAAGACAACTTCCATGAAAAAGGGTGAACAAACTTGGAGCATGGTCTTCACAGTGGGTCCCAGTGACTGCTGGGGGCACCAGAGCATGCAGCCCTGTACGAGGTGCCCCCCCGCCCAGTTCTCTCTTTTGGCTCTTTGCTGTGTATGCTAAGCAAGTTTTTCTCCAGCTGTTTGTTATATCACTCTTCTGCAAAGATTATCACTAAAGAAAGAGAGAAAAAAAAATCTACCAGTAGAGGCTTGGAAGTTTGCAAACCATTGACTTAAAGTGTGCTCCCTGGACCAACATTGATGGCATTGCCAGGAAAATTGTTAGAAAAGCAAATTCTCAGACTCGCCCAGTCCTGCTGACTCAGGTGCCCAAGGGGTGGGGCCCACTGGGCTGTGTTTAAACAAGGCCTCCGGCAGATTCTATTGCACAGTGAGGGTTAAGAGCCACACTGTACCAGACAGTATCTGGAGGCTAAGAATAATAACAGCAATGGCAGCAGTGGATACCATGTATTAAGAACTTATCAAAGGAATCCTGATGGTGCAATGGTTAGGTTCAACTTCTAAATGAAAGACTGGTGATTCAAAGCCCCCAGCAGCTGTGTAGGCAACACTGTGGAGAAGTTCTAGCTGGGTTATCAGATCATTGTGAGTCAGAATCCACTTGGCAGCATGTAACAAGTGCAAATGCTAAAACACCGAGTTAAGTGCTTCCCAAGCATTCCCTGCCTCCAGCCCTACCACACTTTTAGGTGGGTGTTCTGGGCTCTGCGTCTGAGGTGGGGAGATGGAGAGACAGGAGTCACTGATGGGGTGGAGGTCCTGACTGCTGAGCGTCTGTTCCTGCTCTGCCCCTCACTGCAGGTCTTAGACAAACCTATTCCCCAGCTGTAACCATAATGACCTCTAGGCTAGGGCTTCTCAAACTCTAGTGATCACTGTAGTCACCCAGAGGGCTGGTTACAGTTGACACTGATGTGACTTTGGTCCACAGCCACCTTGGGAGAGACAAAAGGACTCCATGAGGTGATGTTCTCGCCCGTTTCCCCTCATCCCAGCTGGCTTGCCACCCCTTCACTCACAGCCTCTGCTCTCTCCCCACACCCCACAGGCGAGCTCAACAAGACGGAGTGTGACAAGCAGACGTGCGAGTGTGACAAGGACGTCACTCTGTGCTTAATGACACATAAGTACAATGAGAAGTACCGTGGCTACCTCAACATCCGCTGCCGGGGCACCATGCCAGACTGCAACATCTACGAGCCGCTGCCCAAGGAGGTTGCCTGTGGCTACACTGCCCCAACACCCCCTACGCGTTCCTAGCTCCCTCTTGGATCTGAGCAAGAAAAAGGGTGCTGGTTCTGTGACCAGGCAGATGGAGCAGGTGCTGGGGGGCAGGTGGGGAGCCCAAAGCCAACTTTGCTGCCTCTGCCCTGGATCTCCATTAGCCCAGTGCCTGGTCCAGATCAGAAGGCCTGGCCACTGACACTTCCAGCCCATCAGCCACCTGCATCCTGGTGCTGGTCACAAACCTGGTGGGAAACATGTGACCTCCACCTGAATGCGAAAGGAAAGGCCTCCCACTTGGGCACACCCAGATCTCCTCAGCCAGGTCCCCAGAATCCCCGCCTTCAGCACTGAGCATGAGGCTATGGTTCATAAGGCAACAAGTTTAGGAACAAGACTCCATGAAGCGCTAGACCTGAGCTGAGGCCCCGCTCATAGAGTAGGCAGCCCCACCCCACCTCCCAGGCTTCCTCTATGGGGTGCAGGTCAGGCACAGACACCACAGCCCTGTACTCCTGCCCCAGTTTCCCAGAATACCTCAGAGTAGAGATACTGGCTGAAGCCACATGCACGGGGACATGCCCTCAGGTGCTCTGGAACTCTGATGGGACATTGAAGAAACCCCCCATCATACACAATTGCCTCCTGCTGACACATTCATGTAGGTGCTCCGCCCTGCCCTCCAGTTCTGCCCAGCTTGAAGGGTAATAACAACCATGGAGGGAGGTTAGCCCCCTTGCTGCCATACCTTGAGAAGTTGCCAGGCCAGGGCAAGAAGGCTGCCCTCTCTTTCTAGACTGCAGGTAGAGCAGAGCTCTCTATGAAGGGGAAACAGTCTGAATGGAGAGCAGGGGGTGGTCTGGAAGGCAGTGGGATGGAGCAGGCGGAGGTGTAAAACAGTGGGAGAGGGGAGACTAGATGACATGGACACTCAGCAGGAAAAAAAAGAGGAGCGGAGAAGGCTCTGGCGGTGTAGCCTTCGAGGTCTGCTCACCCTTAGGGCCTGTGAGATTGTAGGGGTGTGGGAGAGTGGAGGAGCACTCGGCCTGCATAGGACCAGCTGCCCTTGACCCACACCCAGCACTATCATTTCTCCAGGCACACCTAGCCTAGTGCTCTCTTACTATCCCTTGACCTCAGAGTCAGTGACCTCCAGGCAGCCAGGCGACCCTGCATCCCATCTGCCAACTCCTCCATGAGTCAGCCTCGAGGACCCTCTGCAGCAGAGAGAATGCCTATGGGGATGACATCAGGACCGGACAGATAGACTCACAAGGCTGGTCATGGAGTGGTGGACATGGTGGTCTGTGTATGACCTTTCCATCCCTGAGACTTCTTTCCTCCAGTTCTTGTTGCTGTTAGGTGCCATCGAGTCAGTCATGACTAATAGTGACCCTATGCACAATAGCTCTGAACGCTGCTCTATCCTGAGCCAGCCTCACTCTCTCTGACACATCTATTCTACATTACCCCATTTATTGTGTCAATCCATCTTATCCAGGGTCTCCCTCTCCTTCACTGTCCATCGACTCTTCCAAACATGATGTCCTTATTCAGGACTGGGCCTTTCTGGCACCATACCCAAAATATGTGAGAAAGAACTTAAAAATCCTTGCCTCTAAGGAACAACTTGGTTTCAACCTCTCTAGGACAGACCTGTTAGTTCTCTTGACAGTCTATGGTATGTTCAACACTCTTCTCCAGCACCACAACTCGAAGGCATCAATTCTTCTTCTGTCATTCTTATAGTCATTGTCTAGCTCTCTGTTGAATACCAAGTAATTGTAAAGACCATGGCCTGGATCACACTTTAGTCTCTAGACAGACAATTTTGCTCTTGAGCACTCTAGAGAAGTCCCTGACAGAATTTCCCAAAGCAACATGTCTTTTTATTTCTGACTGCTCGTGTCAAGAGAAATGATTGTGGAACCAAGCAAGCTGAAATTGTTAACAACCTCAATCTCTTCTCCATCTATTATGATGGTACTAATTGGCCCAGTGTTGAGAATCTTTGTTTTCTTGATGCTGAGCTTCAATCCATATTGTACAAATGCTTCAGGTCCTCCTCAATTTCAGCAAGCATGCTTTGGGTATGGTGCCAGAAAGGACCAGTCCTGAATTTCAGAAAGCAAGGTTGTGTCACCTACATAACACAGGTTGTTGATGAGTCTTCCTCCAGTCCTATTGCCACATTCCTCCTCATGAAGCCCAGCTTCCTGAATGATCTGTTCTGCATAGAGATTGAAAAGGTAAGGAGACAAGATGCATCCCTGATGTACTCCCTTTCTGATTTTAAACCATACCCTTAAGGAGCCCAGCCAACACACTTCCCTTCTCTTTTACTGTCCTTGATTGACCTCCACCTCTGACCTGGGCCCCACCGCCAGGAATAGAGTGGAGAAAGAATATCAGCAGGTGGTGACTACAGAGGCCACTTATCTATCCCTTGGTCAGTTTCCAGGGAGCCTTGGTTTCTGATTTCCTTACACATGGTTCTTCTCCTCAAGTGAAAAAAAAATTCCTCCTTAATGATGACTTTGTAGCAGGCCAGGCAGTGGGAGGAGCGAGCAAGTCCGTGGATATCAACTGCTTGGGCTGTGGTGTCAGTGACTCATGGTGTCATTCCCTTTCCAACCCCCCCCCCCCACCACCAAACCATACAGAATCTCTAGGAATGCTTTTTGTATTAATATTACTCATAAATCGTAGCTTCCGTAAATCACTGACTATAATGGCAATAGTAGTGACATAAATTACAAGCAAACTTGAAATTACACCTTTAAATTATAACAGCATGTGCTCTCAAAACCATGTGATCTGAAGTGTCCTTATAACTGGGTAATAATGACGGTTCTGAACAGAGCCCTTTAGAGGATTCAGAAAGCAGATTACCATAAAATTTTGGGCTAGTGGGTATATTGATTATGTAAGCTGAGCTTATGAAAAAGTATTTTATTGTTATAATCAACTGTGGTGATATTTTTTATAAAGAATAATAAAATTCTGCTGAAACACTACACAAAGCTTACCGTTTATCCAGTCATTTTGTTTTCACTTCCTCTACAGCATCACCCAGTAGAGTCTGCAGCCCGCGTGGCTCTCTTGCGATGATGCTGTGTTCAGGGTTCCCCTTCCAGCTCTGCTGCTGACGTGAAGCGGGGGTCTCAGTGATTCCATCTGTAAAATGGGACTGATTCCTCCTCTGAGAGGCCGTGGGCTTGTTGTGACAGCCATTCTAGACAGCACATGGGAAAGGTTTCTCAGATGAGTGGTGGGGACAGTGGGTGAGTGAGAGGCAGGGGATATATTTCCTGGGATCATGAGATTGGAGATTGGATACTTATGAAAAGTGAAAGTACTGTAGTGAAGTCAAAGTCCATGGCTTAACGACAGAGGGGCTAGAGGAAGGTCAGTTTGATCAGTAGAGTCCTGGCTCCACTTCTGCTTGGACCCTAACTCAGACTCCTTCTCCATATATACAGTGTCTAGAGCAGATGTTTCAAATGCTGCCCAAGTCATACACTTTCCTGACGCTCCCTGGGTGACCTCTGGGTGAACACAGGCTGAACAGAGGGGGCTGTGCTCCCAGCCCACATCAATCCTCAATCAGCAGCCTTACTTATTCTATGATGATATGATAGCTTTCCTGTGATAGTCTCTAAGAAGAAAAGCAACACTTCAGGTTTTAAAAAAAAGTTTTAAACCACCAGATAAGATTAAGCATTCACTAATTCCTTTACTTCATGACTCTGGACTGTAGTCTTTTGCATAGAAGGCGTGGCACTGGACTGAAAGGAGTCAACTCAGGCATAGCCTCTGCCAAAAAGATGTTTACAGCCTGGAAGGGTTGGCAGACAGTGATCATGGCATGACATGTGGTTACAAGGGCTGTTGTGGGGAGCCCTGAGAATGAAGACGAGCTCTGCCTATGGCAGTACGGGCAGGGACTGCAGAGATGGCAACTTCCAGGCTCAGCTTGAGGGTGAGTGAAACGAGTGGTACGTCTGGGAAGGTGTTTCTGGGGTCTCACTGGAAATGGAAATGAGGACCATGGTGGAGGGTTCAGTTTTGAGGACGGGGCTTCTTATTTTTACAATCTGGAGATCCCTTCCTCAAGACCCCTGATGATCCCTCTCATTTGAGCTTTAGTTGCCATCAAGTAAAGACCAATTCATGCTGTCCCTGTGTGCTCCATAGAGCTTTCAATTGCTGGCCTTGAGAAACAGATGTTCAGATCTTTCTTTAGACGCATCTGCAGGTGGACACGAGCCCCAAGCCTTTCAATTAGCAATGGAGTGCTTTAACCATTCAGATCACTCAGGGACTCTCGATCTTCTAAGACCTGGTATTTTGCTTCTCACTGGCCTGGGGAATACAATATTTGCTCAGATGTTAGTTCGACTCCTCCTTCTCTGGAGAAGCACTGTCTCCATCTTCTTTCATTCAGTTCTTTAGGAACATAGGACCCTCCAGCGAGCCCTTACCTGCTGTTTCCTAGAACTTGGGTGACACCTAGTGGCTACTATATGTCACCTCTCCTCTACTCCTGCACCCAAAGGCCAGGACTGTTGTGAACCCCCGCCCAACACTGGACAATGTTGGCATTGCTCAGAAAAGCACAAAGAAGTGCTAAGTATGACCGCCTCTCACTACCACCTTGTCACTGCCTCTCACAAAGAGAAGCAAATAGAGACCTGGAGAAACTTTGGTCTTGGTGAAACCTTTTTATATCTATATCTAGATATCTAGGTATCTATATATCTATATATCTGGATATCTGGATATCTAGATATCTATATCTATATCATCTATATCTATATCTATACCTATATCATCTATATCTATATTATCTATACCTATACCTATACCTATACCTATACCTATACCTATACCTAAACCTATACCTATACCTATCTATACCTACACCTACACCTACACCTACATCTCTATATCTATCTATATCTATATCTATCTCCTCACAACTAGATCAATAAATAAATTCATGGTAAAGTGACAAAAATATGGAAGTTGTCAAG